TTTTGTAAAAGGCTAGTAGCGCAGTAGCCTCCCTTCGGCAGACCGGCGTTTGGGACAAAACATGTTAATTTCGTCCCCCGTTTCGGACGCTGTTTTCCAAACAGATTTTTTTGAAACTTTGTAACAATGTAGTTGAATAGTTATACTACGACCCTTATAACTCGAAAAATTGAAAATTAAACAAAAAAATAGTTTTATTGAACTTTAAAAGTAACTGAATTTACGTTACTTTTAAGATTTTTTTGTACTTATACTATTGATTTTTTTGGATATATAGTGTATGAGGAAGCTAGAACCAACATTAATCTGTAAGGAAAAAAAGTTTTAGCAATATATCTTTACGAATTCCATCAGGAGCGAGGGACGCCCGAGGCATGTTTTCAATGTTTTTCGCAGGGGTGAAGAAGACTCTTAAAAGTTCACTTCTGTGTAAAAATAGGTTATGTTTCTTCACCAATTTATTTGTTTTATGGTAACTGTAGGAATTAAAAGTATAATGTGCAACTCGAGTTCAAAGTACAATAATTGCCTCACTCGAGAAACCAATTCGACATACTCCTACTGAACATCATAGAACAGAGTCATTCTATCATTATCGAATATATGTTTAATTGAAACGGAGTCATACCTAGGTCGGGTCCGCGGAATTGGCTAACTCTGGAACTCGCTAACCCCATGTTAAATGCCCTATCTTCAAATTTTGTCGATGAGAGGAACTCGCTAACTTGTTCGGTTTCGGAATTGGCTAACTCCGGAACCCGCTAACCCGCTCTAGAACCGGGTTAGCGACTTCCGTACGAGGACGGAACTCGGTCCCTCGGCGGAACTCGCTAACTCCCAATCAGAAGCCTCGCGGGCCGTCCAATGGGAGCCAAGCACGAATATTTTTGGCCAGTGTTGCCGAAAGTGTAGTACCTATATCGTATCGGCACCATAATGTCGTATCCTACGCTTAATTAGGAGTAAGAGCAACGTAGTCGATAAAATAAATATATTTTGAAGTATGTTTAACCACAGAGAAGTTCTTATGATTATTAGAGTGGAAAATGCATTATAGTCTTACCATTGACTAACCAACACAAGTAAACTTTACATCCCATTGTAAACTTTGAAGCTCGTTTTTCGTGTCTAGTTCATGTCCGGTGACACTGATCGCTAGTGTCGACAAAATTGTGTTTCTATTATTTTATAGTTAACTTCATGATTTGTTCCTTACTGTTTGGTTATATAACTAGGGGACGTGTTATTAGTTGTGATTAGAACGTTTTATTTGGTTAAACGAGGTTTTAAATTACTGAAAACAAGAAACAATTGTAAACAAAACACGACCTCTAAAGACAGTACACCGGACAGAACTAACAATACAACTGTCTTCAGATCATCCATAAGGATGAGAAATGTACTAATATAAGGGAGTATGTTTTATATGTGGGTTTCTTACTTAAATAGTAGCTTATTGGTATGAAAAAGATAAAAATGCACATTTAATTTGGATCTATTACATGTTATGAAATATATATTTTCGTAGTCCGCCATTTGTTTCTTTTATTCGAATAAATACCATTTTGTGAACTTCTGCAAATAAAATTTTTGAGTTCGTATTATATATACTGGGCTTGTAGTAACCTTAAATCATAAATCATAATAAAATTTACACGTTAAACGTCATTACAGAATTACATTGTTGTGGTTATGTATTTTAAATAGAGCTATTGAATTTAAATAAATATTTATCAATACATTATAAAGTGGTAGGCCTAATGTATTCATGGATTGCATTAAAAGTTAGTCTATGCATAAATACAACTTGTAAATTTCTTTTATCGTAGGCTATTAGTGTAGAACCCGGGTCATCCTCTTAATTTTGTTGAATTAATATTAATTTTACGTCTTTCAGTAGGCTTACTTTTTAAAAGTCTGGAGTTTTTTTCCAGGCTGATTCTATCTTATCCAAAAACAAAGCTATTGTCTATTGTGTAGCTTAGTACTGGGGAACGGTGAACCGAGCAATGGCTTGGTATAGTTTATATCGTTTGTGAAAGCAATATAAAGGAAACCCAACACTCAAATCAGGAAAAACCGTCAATTAGTTTATTAAAAATCGTGAATTAAAATAACCCTGTCACGTTTTATTATATGAATATTATATCTTCTCCTATTTTTTACTAGTGGTGCTTAGGTGTACAATCTAAAAACTGTTTTAAAACATGTAACATTATTGCTAAAAAATTCAACACATTTTAGAATTAGGCAACTATTTACTAGTAGGCCTACAATGCTTTGGTTCAAACTATTAGGCCTAGATAAAAACTTAGTCTATGTCATCATATTTGTACACGTAAGTTGGACGGTTCAACGACGAACATTTAATTTAAAATCTATGAATTAATTATGAAAGTTACGATGGTTGATGACTGTATTAATTAATGGTTTTGGTTTATTACGACATTACAATTAAAGCTGTTTTCAGTGTTTAAGAACTTGCGTGTATTATAGCTTATTTTCGTAGAGGTTTAATTATTTATTACCAATTAAACTAAATTTTGAATATTTTTCATATTCTATTATTTTCTTTTATACTGATGGCATTTATATTTAAGATCGAAATCATAAACATTTAACTGGCCATTGTACAGTTTAATAAAAAACACTTTTTCATGATTTTTTAATTGTCTTTTAATTACTTTGGGCTAGTTATCTGTTAAAAGTGGAATTGATAACAAAAAAAAAATAACATTTACAGTATCTTTATAGACACTGACATTTTGAAATACGGCAGTGTACGATTATTTTGTCGTACAAGGTTGGCAACGCTACGAGCAGTGGGCGCGGCCGGGTTAGCGACTTCCAGAGTTAGCGAATTCCGCCGCGAGACAAAATGGAGTTAGCGGGTTCCGGAGTTAGCCAATTCCTGACTGAGACGGTTAGCCAGTTCCAGAGTTAGCCAGTTCCGCCACACGACCGAGTTAGCGAGTTCCTGAGTTAGCCAATTCCTACGTCTCCCTAGGTCCACCGCCGTAAATCTCCCCCGCGCTAGTTTACGCAAGGTCTGCGGCCGGCGGGGCATGAGACCAACAATCCCTCCCACTTGCCATTGAGTCGCACAGTTTGGTTTGGCCGACCTAACCAAACGGTGCGGTGGACAACTGGAGACTACTAGTAGCCTACTTCACTCGTAATTACGCCTGCAAAATGTAGGATACTTTACCAAAGCACTGCTGTATTGCGGGCAATTAATTAATTCCATTTCTCATAAGGTTAACACGTTGGGTGCTGATGACGGGAATTCCCGCCATATTGCTTAACATTGAAATAAATGCAATTTTCATGTTCAAACATGTCAACGGCACTTTAAGTGTTAACATGGGAAACTCCAGAGCCACTGGGGCGGAGCCGATTGGACGGATCACGAAATTGATGGTGTATAAACCTATTCCATGAAATTCTACACGTATGTACCAAGTTTCGTGGCAATCGGTTCAGCGGTGTCTGAGTTTATCACTGCCAAACATATATATATATATACAAACATCCTCTTTTTATACTTATAGATTTGGGCAAGGCCGCACTAGTATATCTAGTGCGGCCTTGATTCGGGCCAACAACGTCATTTGTTTATGTTTATGATCCATACCGGTATTTTTCTAATATTCGTGGGTACTATTTTCTTTGCTGTTAACTCAACTGAGAACTGAATGTTTTTTGTTTTTTAGTTTACTTTTCAGCTATATCGAGCTATATCAGAAATATCGAATATATGCAAACTTAGACTAGGCCATACTATAGTGAATAAGTATCTCCATTCTAAGAACATGTACTTTACCCCACTTTGCTTGAAATGCACTCAAGGGGAAGATGAGTCATTGCAGCATCTATTTTGGGACTGTCCAAATTATAATTATTTCAGAGATAAACATCTTAAAGAAACATATAGACAGTACAGAAACAACCTACAAGAAGCCCTGAAATCTGTAAATGATCATATTTACAAGGAAATGAACAATTATTTGAAGGAAATAGGAAAAGCAATCTAAAAGAACAAAGAGACACAAACACTATTAGTTTCACATTTATGTTTAGTTAGCCTATGTTTTCTGCTCTAGAGGATCAACTTGCACGTCCCCAGAAGTACCAGGCATCAACGCTTGTTTGAGCTAGACCATGCGTCGACCAGCTATCTACGCTTCTGTCCCATACCACGTCTGATGCGCTCCGGGAACGAGATCTGTTCGTCGGTCGACCTTTTCGATTCCAGTTTGGAGGCTAGGCGAGTGGCAGCAGAGGAACGTGACGCTCTATAACATTTCACTGTTGGTGTTGTTTTTTGATCTTGTTGATCTCAAATCATTATTATTGTTGTTCATTTAATGCTTTATTATTGTTATTCATTCCATTATTTATTATTGTTACTAGTTAATTTCTACTTCTGTTATTCTTTTCATTGTTTATCGTTGTTAATGCCTAGCACAAAACACAAACATTCACTGTTGTAGCTTTCAATCTTTATCTTTGTAAATTGGTGTATTGCCGTTGGTAAATAAATAAATAAATAAATAAATAAATAAATAAAATAAATATGTTGTCCACTCTTGGGTTTCTTAATCCGTGGCCTTCCTCCCCTCTTCTGGGTAGTTAGGTATGCCTGATGGGCCCCTGGCGAGAAGATCACCTACCTCTACCATCCTAAAGAATCCCTTGAACCTTTAGAAAATCCTATCTTTAATACCTAATTAGGTACAATAACAAAACTAGAACAAATCAACATGAAACATTAATTGTGCACATTTATGTTCAATAACAAATGTTTGTAAACTAACAAATAACCTTAATTGCAGGATGAATTGGAAGCAACCACCACTCAGTGCACATCGAGGCTGCCTGGTCTATTAAACCGAAGCCTGCTAAGCAAACTAGAGAAAAAAAACATAAAAAAACAGTAAACGAAACAAACACGTTAGTCGTTATTTAAACAAACACAAACACTTAAAACTTAACAACAACAACACACAGTCTTAACTTGTGCTTGCTTGCTTTTGCGCTGTGCAGATTACTATTACTCAAACTCAAGTAATAAGTTAAATCATAAAGGAATCTAGGCCTAGTATTATGCACTGCAGATCTCATTTCAAATAGCCTAGGCCAAGGCCAAGTTTAAGTTATTTTGGCAGAAATATAAGAAGTGATGTAAACTATAAGTTAACTTATAACAGAGGCTGTCTAGTGTCTTGTGTTGATCGGTTTGATCTATGTAGGCTAGCCTAAAATTATTGTAGGAGCAATTCACAGTGATACTCATTAATATTTTATCTAATAATTTATTTTGTATAGGCCAAGCCTAATTATTTTATCATGTCATTGGAGAGGGTCTTGAGTTTTGCTAAGTTTGGACCTAACTCGAATATAGTGAATGCAAGACCAACTGTTCTTGTAAGTTTCCAAGGTTTTAACCCAAGTATCATAAGTAGGCCTATGGGGCACAGTTTCTTAACTGGGCTACGCTAATATCAATTGAAAATATTGATTAATAATCAATATTTTAAAATATATCTATTATAGAATTAAATATCATAACCTAACCTAACCAACCAAACTTGCTGTTGGTGAAAAATCACATGAAGGTTTACTAATTGAATCGGGTACACTTCCATATCCGTTGGCACAAACAACCGAATGAAAATATTGATCGATATATCGTTTGGTTAGTAAGGTAAGGTTAACCTAACGAAACAATATTTTGAAATAAACAATCGAATAATCAAAATTACTCATTCGGTTGTTTTTGCCAACAGATATGGAAGTGTACCCATTGAATCGATAGTTCAAATCGATATTAGTGTAGCCCAGTTAAGAAACTGTAACTTACACTGAGTATGTAGGCCTATGAATAAATATATATAGCCTAGTCTTAGTCTTAGCCTATGTGCATCTTATTATTTAAACCTAACCAACCAAACGATAAACCGAAATAAATTTAATCAATATCACTCATTTGGTTGTTTGTGCCAACAGATAAGTGTACCCGTATTAATTTATTAGGCCCAACTTATGTAGCTTAGAGGCATTTTACTACCAGAATTTTAGATCTGGTTCATGCAGGGCCTAATCTTAATGCAAACTAACTAAGACTAACTTATTTAAGTTATTTGTTTGTTTCCCAACTTCTTTTGCCTGAGTTCATGGTACTGTACCTAGTTAGTTAAGTTAATTCAGGCAAAAAAGATTGCACTTTTTTTGTGAAAGAAGATTTGTGTTTATTGTGTTCGCCCTACATAGTTAGGAGCTAATATAGGCCTAAAACTTACTTTCATTTATTACTCCCAACCAACCTAAACGCTTAAAATCAATTTTAAAATAGCCTATTCTGGCATCAATAACTTACACTTGGCTGCTAAGTTATAGCTTTTGGGTACAGTTCCGCAGAGAACCTGTGATATATTATGGGATTAATATAAAAAAGTTATATAGATCAACGATGATTTGGTAAGATTAGGATATAAATATCATCACATTGAATTTAATTTTAGTGTAGGCCTACCATATGATATATATAGGCTAGGCTAAATAAAAATATTACCGAAACAAAAATATTTAACTTAAGGCCTATAAAAAGTTGTTTCTTTATTTTATCCTTAGTAAAAAATTATCCTAAGCTAAGGCTTTTAAAAATTTTTACGACTAAATTTGTATACATTATATGGCAGGGATAAACTCAGACACCGCACAACCGATGGCCACGAAACTTGGTAGCCTACGGTACATAAGTTACAAGTAGAATTTCATTGAGTAGGTTATACATCATCAAATTTGTGATAACTTTCAGGGCTTAGCCCTGGGACCGTCTTAAAGATAGGTAGGCCTACCCATGTCAGGGATTTTGAAAGAATTTGAGTTATAGCTTTGTTAACTAATAAAACATATCAAAGTAAAATTTAAAACACGTGATGTATAAGTTAATGGTCACTTATAAATTTTTTCATAATTTATTAACCGATCAGCATTACATTGCTATACAAGTCAGGTATTTATGAGAAACAAAATAGAATAAATTACATTCACATAGGTAGGGGTCAGTTATGGATAGCCCTCACCCCCCCAGGCACTATTGTTAGGCTACTGTTTTTGTGTGCCTCACTGTAAGGCACTGTTAACATCAATGCATGGGTAGCTGAGTGGTTAGTGCTTGCCTGGTAATCAAAAGGTCGCCGGTTCGATCCTGAGAAAAGACGCTAGCTTTTTGATGGTTCGAAACTGGACCCAGCTGTTCCTGATCATTGGGCTTTAAATAAATGATCCTGACTAATGAAACCGCTGATCTTAGTCAGTAACAAAGCTACACAGGTCATCACACACCATTCTACACTCATCCTTCACTCATATTTGGGTTTAAATAAGCACCTAGGTGGCGTCCCCATCTCAACGATTGATTGAGATTGATATTGATACATCAATAGAACTCAGAATTCTTGAGAATGGAACATAAATGGAAAAAGGTTATAGCAGGGCCAATTTACTGAATAGGCACGTGCCTAGGGTGCAAGGCAATTGTCTTTTTGGGAGGCGCCAAATAATTTGAAAAAAAAAAACTTGTAGTTGGATATGCATGCGATTGTGGTAAACTTCTGATAATCCCTCGCAGCCATAGACATGGTAATCATCTCCCGCCATTGCAGAAAAATTCTGACTTACCTCCTCTCAGTATTTGTTTACTTTAGGGGCTTCTAACGAATTTTGAAAAAAATAGTTTTATCTCATTATTTGGCCTATTTTGAACACTTTTTACATTTGGCACTTTTGGGGCAAACACCTAATTCACCCTGAAAATCGCGTTTGAAAATTGCCAAAAAGTGCAAAAAAATTGGTGTTTTTTTTAATACTTGTGTTTTACTATTACTTTAGGACATTTTAAACACTTTTCCCAAATGTAATATAATCTAACCTAACTTAACTTAACCTAACCTAACCTAACCTTGGTTTAACAAAAAATCCGTAATTTTCGGCATAGGCTATTCCTAACCTAAGCATAGGTTAGGTCGTGTTAGGTTAGGCTAGGGTTAGGTTAGGCCACACTATATTATATATTTAGCTTGGTAAATACACTCATCTACCAAACTAAATATAATCTAACCTAACCCGACCTAACCCATGCTTAGGTTAGCAATTTGCCAAAAATGACGAATTTTTTTAACAAGGTTAGGTTAGGTTAGGTTAGGTAATGTTAGGTTAGGTTAGTTAATGTTAGGTTATGTTTGGTTAGGTTAAGCTAGGTTATGTTTGGTTAAGTTATATTATAGGTATTTAGTTAAGCAGAGGAGTGGGACGGGCATTTTCGGCACTGCAATTTTTTTATGATTTTTCAAATCTGATTTTTTTTTTACGGCAGTGTCTAAAAAAGTGCTAGAGGGTGTTTCAAATGTCCTAATTAAAAGTAAAAACACATTAAAAGTATAAAAAAATGAAGATTTTTTTTCAGTTTTTGTGATTTTCAAACACGATTTTCTGGGTGAAATAGGTGTTTGCCCCAAAAGTGCCAAATGTAAAAAGTGTTCAAAATAGGCCAAATAATGAGATAAAACTATTTTTTCAAAATTCGTTAGAAGCCCCTAAAGTAAACAAATACCTTTTTCTCGGTCGTGTAGACATAATTATCGGGGCTATAGAATACAGGGGCTAGCTCACGTCTTTGATGTAGCACTTGCCGACACGGCCCCGCTTCCCCACCCCTTGTGACGTCACCGGGCTGACAGTCGGGCCTGTTTCCATTACGCGGCCAGCGAAAATCTCCCTCTTTTACACGCTCCCATACCGTTGTACGAACATATTTCTCATATGATACTTATATCGTTTTATTCTGCATTAACTGTAGAATCCAAATATCCAAACAGTTTTTAGTTTACCACAAGTAAATTGGTTTTATATCAACAAACGTTGAGAAACTACAATAATGAAAAAAGAAGCGAGGAATATTTTTATTTTCGGGTTAGGCACAAACTTTCAGCGTAAATAATTATAACTGAATGAAAACTGCAGTCAATCAGTTCTACCATAGTAATTACTTAACGATTGTTAAATACCCCTAACAGTTCATTAAATCGTCTCAAAAGACAATTGTTTCAAGATAATTTTGCCGTTCGCTTCGCAATTTTTAGGTTATTGTTATGGCAACACTGCATCTAATACGAGTGAAATCAACTTCACTCTTTCATTGTTATTCGCGTCTTCTTTTTGTTTCTGAAGAAGATAAAAGAAAAGTGGTCAGAAGATGAGTAAGTGGCTGAAATCAGCAAAATAGGTTACAATTATTATAATAAAAATACTATTGCTAAAACGCTCTTTTACGTTTTTTTACGAATACACTTTTTACACTTTTACACTTTGTTCTACAGACTATATAAAATTACGTAAACCATTACACATTCCTAAAAGATATCCAACCAAGTGTATTAGAATATATGACAAAGGGGTACCGGAATATCAAACAAGATAAATAACAATTTAAGCCTTAAGTCTACACAATTCTTAAAATTCTGTTTTAGCACTAATTAATTATTTCAATAATGGAAACAGTGCAATTGTTTTATTAGGATCATAACAATTTTTACTATCATGTTATAAACAGCACGATGCGGACATGTGCGGAACGATGTAATGTGATCGCCAAGTTTATAAAGCCTTACTTCCTTATAAGCAATAAACGACCCGTTGGTTTTATCGAGAATTTTCAGGCTAATTATTGAAGTAGAACTATTAATGAATATTTTCTCGCTCAGAGTTTGTCCCTATCCAAAAAATAAAAAAATTCCCCGCTTAGTGACTTTTTGTAGTTCACAAGTTTGTAATCCTTATAATTTTCTCCTTTTAAAAAACATATTATTGATCATAACTCAAATGTTTTTGGACCATCAGATTCGGTAGTTAATGCAGATTACAATGATATAAGTTTCATACGGACAATTAAATTGTGTTAATTTAGGCAAGCGTTTGAATGAGAGGTTTGTATATGTGCCGCGCGCTAGCTACAGCCGTGGAGTCAGCCCGGTGACGTCACAGCCACACGGCACTGGGACCACTTTGTTAGTCGACGTGAGCCAGCCCCTGTATTCTATAGCCCCGCATAATTATAGTCTTCCATGATCATGGTAATATATGAAAATATCCCACGGTCGTTTGAAGATTATCATCGTCTACGGCGAATGAGGCAAAATTCTGGTCTTTTCCCACGGTCGTGTGGACATTCTCATCGTCTTGCAAGATCGCGGCAAATTCTGATCACACCTCGCGTCCGTGAAGACATCATTATATCCTCCACTGTGGTCGTGTGGACATAGTAATCGCCTCCCACGATTGAGGCAAAATGGTAATAATCTCTCCGGTCTTGTTGAGATCATCGTCTTCCGCAAAATAGGCAAAATTCTGATCATACCTAGCGG